AAAGTTTCAATGATCATGTCTCTATATATGCTTTATTAAATTAATTATGATTATATATTTTAAGATTTTTGATGCCTTATTGATCCATACGCAAACTATCTGAGGAAGGTATATAACTTCTAGGTATATGAGATGTAGCTGCCATGGGCACGTGTCGTATAAGTGGGGCCACAGGAACACTGGTCCAAGGGAAAAGAAAGTCACGAGTCGTGGATTCTTCACATTGAGTTAGTCATTTATTTCAGGAAGGAATCACAATTCAACAAAAAAACATCTTCTTTGGAAAAGGAACACTGGATTAACTCGTGTAATTCATATTCGAGAACGCGTGTCTCCTTCTCTGCATGCTCGGCTGGCTATATCTCAAAGATCAATATATAAAATTTTACTATATCCTAATTACTATATTCGCATGAAATATATTCGCAACCTTAACAATCCATGGACAATCATGAAAATCAGAAAACGAGCACGCAGAGAAGGAAAGAGGATCTTACACCAAAATTTTCTCGTTCACCAACACCGGGCGTAAACACACTTCGAATTCTTGAATGATAGCGTTCATCCGGAGAACCAGCTAGGCTTAACTCCCGGTTGTAGTTACGATAAACTAGGTGCAAGGCACCGCTAAAAATTAATGTTTTTAAAGAGAGCAAGACACTGTTTCAAATTTGGGTGTATTGTGATAGCATCATCACAGTATATAACAATGTTCGGTCTTTTTAGTGTTAAAAGTGCTTTGTAATATACCGTTAATTTTTAAATCAACCAAAGTAATTTACAAAGGATGCTTTGTGTACAGTCAACACTTCTTCTTTTGATATGATAGCTCTTTGTGGGCCAGAACCTTCCCTACAACCTTCATCCATTCTGCTCTTTTTTTGCGATTGTTCTCTAGTTAGTAATTCTTATGATTTTTAAGTCCTCTTCTACACAGTCAAGCCATTTGACCTCAAACCTACCTCTAACTCTTGTTCCTATTGGTATGTAACATAAATGTGTATTTTCATGACATTTTGATGTCAAAATAAATTTTAAGTCACAAAAGAGTTTTTGAATGCCATGTTTTATCATGTTATTTAAAAAAAATTTTGTCTGCTGGAAACTGGAAGAATATTAAACAATGCAAACATCTAAAATACATTGCTTCAGTTACGTACCAACACTCCCATTTCAACTCAGTGCTCAATTAAAACGCAGAAATAATCTCTAGGGTAAATTAAGGTCCAAAGCACTGGTTTATTTAGTTTTATGCTTTTATTTGTCTTTGCGAAAAATCGAGATACTTTTTTCTGAATTCTTTATTCAAAAAGCTCCCTATTATTATCATTAGTTTAAGATTTAAATTCTATGCTTTATTGCGTTATTCTGTATATTGTTTGTCTGAAGCTAAGAGAATATTAAACAAATTTTGCAATGCCTAAGTTATGATTACGTGCCAACGCTTCCGTTTGAAATCAGGCTACTGGTTTAATTATTTTAATGGTTTTGTTTATTTTTGCAAAGAATGTAAGATAACTTTTCTAAATACTTAATTAGAAACATTATCAATTATTGTCATGTATTTAAAAAAAAAGGGATTGAAACGACAAAGCAATGGAATAATTTTTTTTTAAATAGAAAACTTAGTACTTATTGACTAAAACTGTACCAAAAGAAAAAAAGAAAAAATGTGTTCATAAAATAATGTATGGGTTTAAAGTTACAAGAAATGCAATGTGAATGTCAATATAAACAGCTACAACTCTTCCTGAAACATTGTGTCAATTTTGAATCATGAAATTGGTACTTTGAACAACAATACAGAACAAACTTGCTACCACCATAAATGGTAACTGATGACACTTATGTATTTCAAAGTTCTATATTTAAGGTCAACATAAGCATTAATTGATGTTAATTTCGGTAGCAATTAATGATGCGTAATAGGAAAACTTACAACTCAAAAAGAAGTGAAGTGATTGTCTCTAACAATATAATTTAACTCAGATTTAATTGGATATCTGTAAGTGACGGCACGCGTGGGTGTCAAACCTGATTGGCTTCTGAATCGATTAGGTCAACGTTTTACCCACGATGACGTCACCTCCAGATACTCAATTATATAGTTCGAAGTCGGCTTGGTATAAGATTTATGTGCCTCTTAAAATATTCTCTCAATATGCTATAAATTAAATGCATGTAGTCTTACATTATTTTTATTTAATATTTGCGTTAAACAAAGCGACAGCAGTCAATTTGAATTAATTGTCCGTTTACGTAGAACTATAGTATTCTTTAATCAAGTTTAAAAGGGATTGGTTAGCACGATACACTTCATCAACTTGATTTGACTCCAAATAATGGTGTCGCTAATTTGAAAGGAATTATAGTTCAACAGCTTAACTTTTCAACAATTCAACATTTATAGGAACCTTAAGTATACCGATAAATCAAAAAGTAAAGCAATGTTATGACATTTAAATAATAATATAGGTCAATTGGTTCACAAGCTAATACGAGTATAATCTGATACGATTCCTAGCCAGGACATAAATAACATAGAGATGTCCAAGCTAGAGGCTGAACTACATCCTTGAGTGAAGTAAATCCATCTTTTGTCATAATTTTGTGGTCTGTAATGGCAACTAGCTGCTTACTGTATTCCCATTCGATGATACGTATTCCCATCTTAATAGAAACGTATTTCTATGTGTTGATATCTGCCTAATTAATCGTAGATGTATTGACAGTGGAAAGGTAAGTGACTTTGCGGTATGATTGATAGAGTCTTCGACTGTGAGCGGGGTTCGAATCCCCGTGATAGAAGCTGGGTATCTGGTTGATTTCCATATTCTATCACTCGCCTTTTAGTAATTCAGATTTCATTCTAATATGATATCTCCGATGGTTGAAGAGGCGGAAAAAGGTCAATATTTAAAGGCCAGGAGACGATTTACAGATATCTTCTTTAATTCTGCATAACTACCAAATCCCCTGTGAATATTTCAGTAATTTAACATAATTTTTTCATTTTTAATTCTCTGTAACTTTACACGAGACTATTGACTGATTTACAAGTGATCCTCAAATAAAATAAAAAAAATTGTAGTGTAAAATGTGGCAAACTTAAATTAAATTTTCACCAAGTCCTTACTTGTAACATTATACGCTTTGATATTTTAAAACTATTTTTGATTTCGCTCGGTTACCGAATTCTTTAGCCACTGAAAAAATCTTTTGAAAGTTTCATTTTAAAAAGACAAGTATTAAGGAAAGTTAAAAATACCTACATAAAAGGGTTTTCTACCTTTAGAAAGAGGTATGGTGCATAAGATGAAGAAAAGCGTATTGAAAAAGAGTAAAAGTTTTGATACCGAAAAAAAAAAACTTTTCGCCGATAAGGATCCGGTTATATTTGGTTTTTTTCGCTTCAAATGTGATATTTGAAACGCAGTAAAAGAAAATACTTTTTTTTCTCTCAAGATTTTGTGACTGACGGTATCTTAAACACTGGGTAGCTTGGCTTCTTGCAATACATTTTAGAACATTCTTCCAGCGTAAGATTATTTGATCGAAATCGAATATTTCTTGAGTAAAGAAAGGGTTTTAAGTGAAAATGGCCCTTGAAGGATTCTAAAATTACTTGTAAAATGCAACGAACGAATATGTAAGATTTTTGGATGAGCAGAAATTAAAATATGTTTTTTCAGAAAATACCAGCATAAATCATTTCCTTTCTGCAAACTGTTTGTAAATTTAAAATTATATAGATTAAAAAATTAGATTTTCTTAAGGAGTTACTGCTACTAATACAGAGATACGTCAGAGGCAATAACGATATTCATTAAATCAAGTGACTGTTGGAAATTTCAAAGCCAGGTAATAAAAAAAAAATTTAAGATTACTATAACTTTATGATTCCATGTCTATCAAATAAATAAAATTCAACCCTGCATAAGTTCATGAGAAGTATACTTCCCACTAATATCATTAGATGCGTAAGTTTTTTTTTTCAAAATTCCCATTATTTGCTTGAAAGCTACGGCAATTTTAAGAACATTTTTGTCTCGAATTTTTCCCCCCTTTTTTTTTTTAAATAATGACTATTTATCTAGTGTTTAAAAAAAATTATACCTATATAAATTATATTTCTTTTTATTTTTCCACACATGCCGAATTCTTTTTCAAGCTCAATTGATTATTATTCTGGGCAATCAATAATTTTCATTACATATAAACAAAATGATTTTGCATAAATTATAAAGCATATGCATTTCTCAAGCTATAAGTAAATTTTTTGTTAAAAATACCCTAGCAGCAAAATAGCTTGGGCCGTCATTGGGCGAATATTCCTGAATCTTGACTCAGTAAGTGTTCATAGGGCCTTTATTTTTCCAGTATTAGCCCATCATAGAATTTTCCAATTCACCCGATATTTTATATCCATTATTTTACCAATGCAGGCCCTATATAGGCCATTCTAGGAAAAATATTAAGAAATCAAGACATCCCAGTATTGGTCTCTCGGTGCATGATCTTATAGGACCCATGGCGAGCCAATTTTGAACCCAACTGGGTCCAAGGTAAAATTGTTGCTAGGGTATCAAATTTAAAAAAATAAATAAGTAAATAAAGATTATGAAAGAATAGCAATCATGGAGGTTGGTTTGGGGTGCCTTCTATCATTTAAAAGAGAAACTGCATCATAGATATTAAATATTTTTTTATTAATTTATGTATTTAATTTGAAAAATACTGTCCATAACATCCAGATAGAGGTCCATTAACGAACAGCTGTTTAGGACTTTTGTAGGTCACTTAGTAACGCAATCGTTATAAAGAGGCAGCTTAAGCATATTAAAGCTGAAAAGGTAATTATTGAAGCTTTTAAATTTTTCTTTAAGTACAAGTTATCGTTCGAACATCCAATCAAAATAGTTAAAATATGGTAGTCTTATTCCAAAATAGAACCGTAATCAATAAGTTTAAAACTATCTCAATAAAGAGACACTGTATATACAGATGCTGTCATTAATCCGCGTCTGTGTACACAACACACTTTAGTACAATTGAACATGTTCTTGAATATTAGAATCTGCACACTTGTTTGAAAGAATAACATCATGCTTTTCAGACTATTGCGCGGGAAGGTAATTACTATTATTTAATTAATTTTATCATTATTATTGTTCTTGTTGATGATGGGGATTATTACGTTGTTTTTTGTTACTAGATTTTTTTTATTTGAAATTGTTAAGATTTATTGAAATTATTAATATTTATTTGAAATTATAAAGTTGTTTTGAAAAACAAGATTTATTTTGTGTAAAATATGATATGATGATTTATTTCAGAGAAATTTTAATTTAGATCTTGTGTGTATTATTTTTTTAAATTTTTTTCCTTATTCAATATTAAATCTTAAAATCATATTTTTTTGTTTAAATTTTAACAACATTAATATCGTTGATGATCAATTCGATTAGATTAGATAGATTAGATGAGTAAGATAGATTTGATAAGTAAGACAGATTAAATGAGATAGATTAGATGGATAAGTATTACTTCTCTAAATGAAATATATATGTTTTGATATATTTTGTTTTTTAGTTTCCTTATCTATTTCCAAAATTTTTATAATTTCACGAGCTTAAATAAAGTACATAATTTTGAATAAAGTACATAAAATTTTTATATATAAGTATGTATAATAAGTATATATAAGTATAAGTGTGTATGTACACTGTAAAAACTGTGGTGTAATGCCTATTCGAATTTAAAAACTCGGCAAATTATGTGTGATTTCAAGATAGCTCAGAATTGAGCATTCATACACACTTAAAAGTTAAATCTTAACACAAAATCATAAAGCTTGCAAAAAGCTCAGATAATTTTATTCCAGTCATGTATTATTTTTGCCAATGATGGCACACGTTTTGAAACAGTCAAAGAATCGATATTTTTTGTTTACTCTCGTGCAAAGATGGTGGACAATTAAAATCAGCTTGCAAGATGTAACATTTCAAAGAAATAAGTTAGCAAACTGTTATAAACAAACATAAATGCTCTTAGTTGCGCAATAAAGATAATTATGAGCTTATAAGATGATTCGCATAAAACTGCGACATATATTAAATAATTTTATAATATTTAATATCCATTTTGTTAATCCTTGTTTGAATATCTTACTATATATAAAAATCTAATGATGGTGTCGCAGTTTTCCATTGTTGTCCATGCTGTTTTATTGGCCATAAAATCACGTGGTATGATCCAGTTTTTCCTTCATTCATTTCCATATTATTTTGGTTGTCATCAGTACAAAATTAATAAAAGTCACACAAGTATTGTCTTTCTATAAATATTTTTGTATCCCTAGTTTAAGGCTATTTTCCTGTACTGCTATTGTTACGTTTTTAATTCAAGAGTTTAAAACTAAGAGAATTGTTTTGTTTTATTATTATTATGTAATTCCACGCTACATTTTAAGATAAAGTTATTTAGAAATGTAGTCTAATCTTATTAAACTAAACTCAGTGGCACGACAGCTCAAAGAGGGCCAAGGTCTACTGTGCCCATCTCAGTTTACCTGCCCTTGGGCTCTGGGGTGCAGGAGCAGATGTTTCGATTAGATAGTCAGCCTTACGCAAAACCGCCAGTGTTTAGTTCCCAAGCTTGCTTGGTGCTCATTTATCGACCTACTGAAGGGATGAAAGGCTGAGACAACCTTGCCCGGCCCGAGGATCGAACCCAGGACCTGTGGCACGGGGGCGCGAAGTTCTACCACTCAGCCATTATTAACCTCGGGCTAATTAACCTTTTTACAATTATTATTTTGTAAAAATAACATTTATATACTGTTATAAATTACAGTTAAAGGGATCTATTAAAGGCTTAAGAACTTAGCTATCAGCTTCGTGGACAATGAGATGCAAGCAAAATTAATATTTAGTATATCCGCCCGTTTCGTAAAAGAAAATATTAAATTACGGTTGTGAACTCATCAAATTTGTTTAAATAATATAAGGTAATAATCTAATATATATAATTCTCTTACGTGGCTCCCAAATTTTGGCTGTATTTCTTTTCCGTCGGTGGCAACGTTTGCTTTGTTTTGTTTACGTTATTATTTCTCTTACACGGCGACAAAAAAAACCTCATTACAACTCGCCGAATGGCAACGCTAGAAAATCGACCAATGATTGCCGCTAAAAATGTCACATGACAAATCTAGTTGAGGTGGCTCAACATATAGCGCTTTTAAAAACGGAAACTGAAATAACATTTTAATCTAATA